AGAGCTCATCCTTTCAAAGAACGAGCTTCAAGGAAGCAGCGAAGAGATTGCGTCCATCTTGCAGTCCATGCGTCTAGAGGTCCTGGATCTCGGCCATAACTCTTTCGCTGGAGAGCTGAACGAATGGAGAGCTGAAGTCGTTCAAGAGCTCCAACTCTTAGATTTGAGCCATAACAAGTTTTTCGGAAACCTCTCCAGATTTGTCGAGATCTTTTGCAGCCTAAGCCCACCTGGTGGCTCCCTGCTCGAACTTCGCCTCAACCACAATCGCTTCACAGGTGAAATGCCACCATGCTTGATGCAATTCAGCAACTTGAACTTTCTCGCGCTGAACAACAATCGTTTGCGTGGCTCACTTCCTCCAATCCATGCTTCTGAGCTTGTGGTACTGGCCTTGCACAAGAACAAGTTGTCAGGAGTGCTTCCAGAGAGTTTGCATCATCTCAAGCGCCTTGGCGTGCTCACGCTCCACGAGAACTCCATTGGGGGTCCCATCTCAGGACTTAATTTGAGCACCGCATGTATGGACAACTCCAAATTCCGGATTGAAGGGATGGGTTGTGTAAGGCTGAGAGCACTGGTGGAGGAGAAGGGCTTGAAGCTGCATCATATTGATCCACATGACCCCGTTCATCAGCTCAAGCAGATCTATGCCAACTGTCCCACTTTGATGGGTTGCGACCGAGCTGGTACCGCCAACCTGACCTTGCACAGGAACCGTTTCTCCTGTGCTGTTCCAAAGAGTCTGGGTTCCAGCAAGATCTCTGGCTTGGTCATCATGGGTAACATGCTGGGCTCTGGCAGAGAGCTGAATTTCTCTTGGATACGCCCCGAGGAGAAACAGTCCTTCCTTTACTATTCCAAAGAGGTTTGGACGTCCAACCAAGTGGTCATCGCTGGATTTGTGCTTTTATTCTTCTTTGGTGCGTTGTGTTACCAGCCACGGCAAAGGCTTGAGGCAAGCTTCCCTCATTTGAACTTTGGCACAGGTGCCCGAGTTGCTTCCGCCAACTTGGGTGTGTTGCCCGAGGAGTTCAAAAAACCTTTGTGTTTGTTTTGGTATGGCTGGCACGGGGTCGGACACCCCTCCCACTTACGGGCAAAAAGAGAGGTTCGATTTTTCTGCCACTTGGTGTTTGGTCCTGAAACCCTTGGAATCAGAGGGCTGCCTTTGAAGTGTTTTTACTGTTTTAGCACGGGGCATGCCGTCTTAAGGGAAGCAAGCGCATGCCAACGAAGCTGTGCGTATAATGGTCGAAGCCAGGTCTGATCAACCTGGTGTACCTGCAAGTTGTGATATTTTGTATACAACCACGTTCCCCTTCTAGAGTCTTGGAGGCTGTTTCAGGATGACGAGGTCGTTTTGCTGTAAAGGGCTAATGAGTGCTTTGGAGGTTTTCATGGAGGTATCAACTTACCTGAACCCTTAGGCAGTCATACCTGGGTGGGCGTGTGGCATGAGGCATTCAGTTCCGTACACACTTCCCAAGTGTGTGTGTGTGTGTGTGCGTGCGACAGGCTTCTGGCTATTCCGATGTTAATTTAATGTTTGTTTCCCAGGACATCTATTCTTTACAGCACTGATTGGCCTGATCGTACAAATCTGAGGTTGAAAAGCGCTCGTATCACCACTCTGCTGGCTCTCCCACTGCTTTTATTATTCTGGGCGAGTGGCAACTACTACGAGTGCAGCCCACTTTTGTGGCAAAGCACTGCGGCCAACTCTTCAGTCGAGCCTTTGGCCGGGCTGGGTGTGATCAGCTGTTGGTGTACAATGCTCTTCCTCTTCCGGACGCTCTTCGCCAGCATGCCCATGCGTCAGAAAGAGAGGCAACGGAGATCCACCCGCCACGGATGTGTGTGGAGAATTCGTCGACTTTTGGCCTGGGGTTGTTGGGTGTGCATTGTGACGGCTCTTTCCTTGCCATCCATTCTCTTTTCATGTGCCCAGTCCTTGCCCGGAAATGGACACAGGGACACATCAGGCAGTGATTTCATGTTCAAACTTGTGTATCATGCTACACCGCTCTTGATTGTTGTGATCGATGTGGTCTTGGCAGCAAAGCTCTCGACCAAGTACTGCGATTTCTCTGGAATAAAAGCAGACAGATTGTTGATGACTTTTCGTTTGTTTGCCGCGTGGCTCCTGCCGTTGCTCATCACGGTGGTGCTGGATGAAAACTGCCTTTCGGTCTGGAAGATGACTTGGTCTGTTTGCCAACCAGGATCCCCAGAGCACAAGTACTTCGATTGGAATATCTATGAGGAAGAAATCCTTGACACTGACAGGGACATCTGCACCTTGAGCCAATCTTGGTGGTCTGATGGCCGCTGCAGCCGTGCCATTGTAGGGAATTTAACCTCCTTGCTGCTACAAAAACTGCTTGTACGTAGCACACTGTACCCATTGGCCTTGTGGCTGACGTGGCAAGGTTCACGCTTAGAGGAAGCAGGAACCGAATGCCATTCTGGACGTCATCTGAAGCTGTTTGGGTTTAACACTACGAACGCTTTGGCACCATTGCAGCAGATGTCCTTTCTAACCACGCAGTTTGAACTCTTAGCTTTTTGGACCCCCTTGGTGCCCCTACTAAGCTTCGGCGTCCTGGGTGTGGCCTCCGCGAACCTGTTGATTTTGGATTTGGCACTCTGGAGCTTCAGGATCCAGCTCCCTTCCAACGAAGTAAACCAGCTGGCAGCCTTGTCCAGGTCATACTTGAGTTTTGCACATAGTGCTGGCTGTTGCTTCCAGCTCTGGCATGCTTTTGGTTCCCAAATGTATGGACGCTACATCTTGCTGATCTTCAGCATTGCAGTGATGAACCCCTGGGCGACACGATTCTTGCCCTTAAAAGCGGCTAGGCGCTATTTCTGGGCAGAGGTGGAGAAAGCCAGCCAGACGGAGTTCATTGAGATGGCTGTGCAGATGGATGAACCAGCTGGCTCGGTCCACTTTTAGATGCGGCTGTGCGAAAATGGGCGTCTAAAGTCGCTTAACACGATCGGTCCAGGCGTCCCTGCCATTTGCTTGCCCTTGCGGTTGGACGACTCATTGCCAGGCGATGCGGAAGTAGCGAAAGGTCAAGTGGCGGCCTTAGTATCCTTGTCCTGGGGGTGGCTTCAGAATCGGCTGTTGTCCAACAGTGCCTGATGCCCTTCTTGCTTTTTGAAAGGTGCTTTAAAGGTCTCTTTTGTTGAAGAACGCATCGTGGTGCTCCGACGCGTCGGCTCTGCAGTCGACGATCCAATCGCTTGATTGATCCAAAGACGGAATTTCTCATGCCATTGATTCTAAAGCAGAGTCAAAATAGACAGAATTGTGTGTGTATATATAATATGTAAATAAACACAACATTTAGACAAACAAATACACACACATATATATATATAATTATATATATATATACATAGATACATATATATATATATACGTGGCAAAAAGTCTATGGCTAAAATATCTGGTTGCTGCCATCCACCTACTGATTTCGGATCCGCGGCCACCGAGATTCTCGTTTTGCCCCGCGTCTGACGCGGTGGTTTTCACTGGAAGAGGCGGTGGGTGTGGACCGAGTCGGTGGGTGTGGGTGCCACATCTCCTACACATTCACAGGATGACTCAGACGCAACTTCTCAAACTTGTTTATTTTTTGTTCAAAGGAATTTCTACTGCTTCACAACAGTCACATGCTCTCCTTTGGCGGGGTCCGCTGTCCGCAGGGGGGCGAGTAACGGTGACGCAGTGATCCGAAGAAAGCGCCGCGGCAGCGTCCGTCGCAGCGAACGACGCGGATGCGTCGATGCGCTCGGCCAGGATGTCCGCTGAGAAGCCGTGAAGCCCGGAGGCGCAGCCGGACGTGAAGAAAGCAGGAGACGAAGCGCGCCAGCGTCGGTTGAAAAGCCGATTTGATGGAGTGTGTTCGAGGCTTCTCCTGCATTCTGAATCTTCCGCTTCAAAAGCAATTCCCAAGAGCAGAATGCAGGGTTTCAATCGATGGGAGTGGTCCACAGTTTGCCTCCGGTGCCCCGCAGATATTCCGCAAGCTCCCTGCGGAATCCACGCAACATGACTGCCCAGCCAGTTTCAACCTTTTGGTGTGGTAAGTTCAAAAGCGTTGGAGGAAGACAATTGGTGTCTGCGCGCAGAGCGTTCTTTGTGCGCAGTACAAACGTGCTTTAATGCGTTCCAAGGCAACCAGACTGGTGTGTGCTCAGTAACACGCCTTTGTGGCTGCAATAGTTGTTGGGCGTGTGGTGTGTCTTCTGTCTCTGTTGCGAAGGATCCTTTTTACTTTCTACAGGGCAAGAAAAGGTTCGTGCGCAACAACGCTAGAGGCATTTGAGTGCATACCCAGCAACACGTTCAACATGCTTCTGTGTTTGGAACAACTTTTGAACTTCTGATGTGCTTTCTGTCTCCGATGCAAACCACTCCTGCTACGCAGCAAAAAACAATATATGGGCAACAACGTGGCAGGATTTTTGCGCGTACCTAGCAACGCGCTTTTGCACGGGCGACAGCATTTCTGCAGTTCTGATGTGCTTGCTGTCTTCCTGCTTCCCAACTCATGCCTTCCAGTTCTTGCTCCCCGCTCCGTTTGCACTTGGCAAACTGATTCGGATCTGGTTTGAAAGCTAGCTAGCCACAGCCCAAAACACATAGCTATACTGCGCTGATTGACTATTCTCAGTCACTTGAGTTGCTACCTGCTGGGTTGCAAAGCTGGGTTAATGAGGGTTTTCCAGGCGACTGACTGAAGTTGTACTTGCAAAGCACGCTAGCAGACAATTCCAAGTTCCCGTTTCTTTGGAATTCGATCCAAGTCCTGTGACGTTTTTCAAACCCGCTGAGTCATTGAAGCAACTTGAAATCTCCTTGGTGATGCCATCAGTGTTGCAAAATCAGCTGTGCAGCAGCTTCTTGTCAGGCTCAAAGTGAAGTTCTCACAACCGCTCACAACAAGCTCGCAGCATCCTGCGACGCTCCTTTTTATCTCAGCGGCATGGGCTGTGGTGCATCCAGCGGGCCCGCGCCTGTCGCGCCGGTCGCGCCGGCGCCGCCGGCGGAGGCCGATCTTGGAATTTCACCCGCGAGGATCGAAGCTGCGAGCCAAGGAGATGAAATTGCCCAGGATGGAGATGAAGTGTCGACACAACTGCTCGGTGTGGTGTGAAGAACGTGTCAAGTCACCTGATTTTAAGTGTTTCATGCGTATGCACCTTGTCACACATAAATCACTGGGTGGGTGGGGTGCAGCAGGATGACTTCTTCAGACAGCTGTTTCGCTTCTCAGAAAACGGAGATGAACAAAAGCTGTGTGATCTACTGAACGCGTGGCCTGCGTCTGTGAAACAGCGTGGGGCTTGGGAGACTTTGAAGACTTTGAGCATTGTTCTTTGATCTATAGGGCCATAGGTCTTCGTTTTCTTTGGTAGTCGGGGAAACCTTTTAGTTTCGGTCATCGGTCATCTCATTTTGCCAAGTCTTTACTTGCTTGAAGCAGGTACGCAAGACACTTGGGCACCACATGGTTCCGGGGAGAACGACCGAAAGCAGCCCACCTTGCCCCAAAGCCGGCCCCAGACTGTCACGGGCCCCAGCCGTCCGCGCTGAGGAGACCAGCGTCAACGCCGCGCGCTTTCAGCAGACCCGGGTCTTGCAGAACATGTTGGACTTGGGCGTCGATCCTCCGATCGGCGAGGACGATGAGGAGGTCAATCCTTTGATCAAGGCACTCCAGCGCGGCTATTGGGACCCCTGGTTGTAAAGGCCGAGAAACCCGTGTCTCTTTTTTTGGGGGTCGGTCTGTCTCTGTTTTCTCCCGCAACGAGAGGAGGTCTTTTGGGTCCGATGTTAAGCTGGCCTAAAAATCGCTGCTTCCGACAGGGAAGCTTGATCTTTCTGTCTCTGGCCCGTCGAGCAAAGAATGTAAGGACGTCGTTGGAGTGTTGGTGCCAAAGGCATTGCAACACGACTTCTCTACAAAGCTCCTTGAAGAATCTATGTTGGACTTCGTGGTGGCAGGTGACTATAACACGCTCAGGAGGTTCATGAAGTCCTTCCAGATTCCAGGCACTTCCTTTTCTTTTTTTTAAAGGAACAGGTTCTGGAATGGAGGAAGCATGAGGAAGCAGTGTTGGTTCAATTCGGTTGATATCTTTTGTGCCAAGGCAGCGGCAAACTGCTTTGTGCCGCTTTGTTGCTGAGTCCTGACAATCTTGGCCCAATTGCAGACGAGATGGTTTCCATGATCGTGGAGCATATGGATGATTTCAACAAACCCAGCTCGTTCACGCCTGATGCTAAGAAGGTTAAGGTTGGATGGGAGAGCTTTTCGCCCATTCATGCTGCATGTCGGGCCAAAAAGACTTTCAACCGCAAGCTGATTCAATCCTTGATCGACAAAGAAGTGGTCCTCTCGGAATGGGGCACCGAGATGTTTGCGGAGACGAACTGGGGGGGGAAAAGGCACAGCAAGACCTTTGCAAAGCGATTGCCCCTGCACTATGCAGCAGAAAACCATCATTCCTCCTTCAAGATCATTGAGCTCTTGGCGAAAGCCTACCCTGAGGCCATGTTCAAACATGTGGATGACAAGCCCGGAAGGAAACTTCCGTGCCAATGTATCAGGCCCAGTGACGAAGCGAAACAACAGCTGGAAGAGCTGATGTATGAGTACCCCTTTTTTGCTCAAGTTGATTTTTATGTTCCCTGTGGGTGAATCCAATTATTGTTTTTTGTTATTCATTACTACGAAAGCCAGCCGATAGGCTAGGCTTGAGCTTTTAGAGCGAACGAAGTGAGTTAAGGGGGTGTGGGGGGGGGAGGGTGCTGAGAGGCACATTTTGAGAGGGTGAACCCGGAGCTTAGTGGGGGAGAGCGCTCCAAAGCGAGGGTCAGAAAAGCAGTGAAAATGGGGTATGGTGATGCGAGTGATGCAATGGACGCCAAGTAGTGCGTCATTGGCATCATGAAGGGTTTCGGAGGCTATTTGGACAATGGGCATTGAGCACGAGCTCCCAGGACAACCCGTAACTCGCGAAATCCATAGAGAGCCGAAAGTGACATGAGTTCAACTCCATGAATTTGGAATGAATTTCGGCGGGGATGCCTGCGAGGTTGACTACATATCCGCATAGGGTTCCTGCCCCCTAGCAAAAACTGTACTTGCACCATGTCCTCGGTCGAGTGCATGCTTCTCGCAGCGTCCGCACGCACCGAACGTTTTTCCGGCTTGCCGGTGCGGATAGATAGATAGATAGATAGATAGATAGGTAGATAGAAACTACATACATACATACATACATACATACATACATACATACATACATAC